AATATAGGACGTATATTATGAACGTATATTAGTTTTCCTGTAAATCGTTCACAGTTCGAAAGGATAACTTCTTGTCTCCATCAAGCTTTTTATTTGGACAAAAGACTTCTTCAGCCCGAGCCAATCTCAATCTCAAGTCAGGATAATGCGCGAGTTATTTGTTATTCAAGTCGAATTTTAGTGAGCTTACGATAAGGGCGGCGCCAGATAAGACGAGCTATTTCGTTAAATGCAAGGCTTTGTGTGCGTTAGGCTATGACTCATGCCATTACCTAACTTAAAGTAGTTACATTAAAAACGTTTGACATATCCTTTAGTTTGTGAAGTTTGAAATTTTGAGAAAGACTGAAAAATGATTATGAGCGGCGTCTGGAACCTGCGACGGACACTACGTAAGACAGCTTATTGTGCTATTATTCTACTCAACCTCTGTCACCTTTTTTCATAAATACAAAAGTTATTTTTCAATTAAAATATTAATGCTCTGATGATCTGACGAATTGTTTATTTTTTTATAAAGATATTTATTTATTTTTATTGTTATTTCATTTTAAAAAGACGATGTAACCGATGGCTAAAAACTTTGTTACATAAGCAACATTATCTTTATTAATATTATAAAGCTAAAAGAGTTTGTTTGTTTGTTTAAACACGCTAATCTCAGTAACTACCTTAGCTTAAGAATTCATTTTTTTTGTGTTAGGCCATTCATAGAGGAAGGCTTACAGAATCAGGTCGACAAATAGGTGTGAAGAGAGAGTGGAGAATAAGGAAAAAAAACGGGGAGAATTATTCAGTCTTTAGCTGCTTTCAAATGGTTCAAGAAACCAAATAATATGTATTTGCCCATATCCCAACTATTCTAAGTGAACGGTGTCGCAGGCGCAGCTATTATATCATATAACGAATATAGTAATCCGTTTAAACTCGCCCTAAGTTCAGATTAACGGCCATCGAGCCTCCTCGCTGAATTATAGATGCATCTTACGTGAAGCTTAACAAGATTTGGCTCACATCTACATGTAAATGCGTCCTTATTCTTACTTACTGTAATCTTGTAGGCAAGACCATTCGTTTGAAGGTAATGAATAGTAAGCGTGGAATTAAAGAAGACCCTTGTTTCAAGATGTCTAGTCAGTATGACATGGAGGAAATCAGAATAAATTATAAACGAACTGATACTGATAGGAACGTATGTTTTTTTAGAAGAGGTCGGAAGCATGTGCTTTACTTGAGGGTAGGTGTAATACCACAGCCATATAACATCTCGTTCATATCTCTCGCACAAAAAGTGCCACCGCAATATGATTTCAGAATTTTATAAAAATTAAATTGATCAGAAACATTTAAATTTAAAACACTTTAACGGTTTAAAACGCCATAGTAATTAGTTAAACTTTTTGAAAATGATTTTTAACTTCGGCCCGACGTTTCGGATAGGCTAAACGAAAGCAGCCGTGGTTACGGGGAGACCACGGCTTTATCTAATATATCGCGTTTTAAACCGTTACAGTGTTTTATTTAAATGTCCTTGTACTTTACTCGCGTAAACTATAGACAGTATTTGATCAGAAACATGTTGAACTCGATGGTAATAGAATCCACTACTTGTTGGTTAGTCTTACATTGCTACATTTAGATCAATCAATAAGTACGGGACTTATACTAACCCCGGGGCCGGGGGGGGGAGGCGCCCCCCCCCCCCCCAAAACCCCCCGGGGCGGGGGGAAAAAAAATTTTTTTAAAATTTTCTTTTCCCCCCCAAAAGGTTTTTTTTTTTTAAGGGGAACCATTTTGCGTTATAGTGTTATCTATCACTACTTTACTATGTTTGGTTAACACGCAGTAAAATTGAAAGGGGACGGAATGCGAACCACTTACTATGAGCTAGTAGGCCTTACGTAGTAAAGTTGTTGAAGCGTAAACCAAGCGACCGTTTATCAATTGTTATTACTTATTCAAACATGGCGATGCAATTTTCACGCAAAGTGAAGGAGAAAGTAATTAAGTGGTGCTATTAATATTAGCGAGTAATATTTGTTGTAAGTAACTATGCTTGGCTATGCCGTGTTTTTTTTCTGTAATTTGAACGGTTAACTTATCTAGTCGCAGGCCCGCCCGCCTTTCCACCCCCCCCAGGGGGGGGGGGGGGGCCCTTTTTTTTTTTTTTTTCCGCCCCCCCCCCCCCCCCCCCCCCCCCCCCCCCCCCCCCCCCCCCCCCCCCCCCCCCCCCCCGCGGGGGGGGCCTTTTCCTTTCCCTTTTTTTTTTTTTTTTTTTTTTTTTTTTTTTCCCTTTTTTTTTTTTTGTTTAAAACTTTAACAAGTTATAGTTAAAATACATAGTAAATATTAGCGAGTAATATTTGTTATTAGAGTAAATAGTAGTAGTACAAATTGAATTAAAAACTTTTGAAGTTGAAAACCGGAAATGTATCTGTTAATTTATTTCGCGTTTTAAAGGTCGTTGTTTTATTTAAATGGCTAGGTCACATTCGTCGAACGTGTTTTTGTGAACTTTGTTCCGTAGGACTCTATAGTGGACTTCGATGGGAGGCAGACCGTTGGAAGGCTATGCGAAGGAGATCGTTGCGGACAATCAGCAAATGAGGTACTGAGTTTACTTTAGGGACCATAATTCATTTTTCTATAATTTCATAGATAAATTTAAAGAAGATATATATGTATATTCTCGGTAAATATATACTTCAAACCAACGAGCCACGAATTATCCCAATACATACCTTAACGAGGATATTTACAATATACTTTTTCGGAAGGTACACAACAATGTCACGACATAACGTAAAAAACTAATAGAGCCTTGAAATATTTTAACGGAGCACAAAAAGTTCTATTGTTACGTGTACTAGACATATGTGGGCGTTCTGAGAATGTTATAAGCTGGGCTGCACCTAACGTATCGTGTTTAAGATAATTCAACGATTCTTAGAAGCAGTGACAATGCAGGGGAAGTGCTAAACAATTTGAAACTCAAATCTGTTAGTAACTAGGCTAGTTGCGTTAAGCGCCGTCAATCCCTGGAATACAGCAATTAATTGTTTTGGTGGAATCGGGCAAAGATTGCACATTCTATACTTAGGTATAAGTAATAATGTGATCAAAAAAAAGTCCGCGAAAGTAAAAAACGACGGGACTACTTAGTTGGTAACTGTAGCTATAATATAGGAATAGGTTTTCATTAACAAATATCGATGTCTAAAATAACTATTTTATGCGAACGAAGCCACTGGCACTAGTCTGTACATAAAATCCAATAAAACGGATACACAAATGAGTCCGCCGCTCTTCTCAAGGCTTAAAAAGGTGACACAGTTTTAGTAAATACACAACACAAAAATAAGACTGTAGATACAAATGCTTATTACATATAATGTTGATCTGTAAATTTTATCTCAATACGGTAGCCTAGTAGCATGTCACTGTCTCCAAATATGTAGTAGAATTTGACACCTATAGGAAAAATTTATGGACAGCATAACGTAAGCAGCTAGTTGCAACATCCTTTCGTTTTAGGTACTGCTAGGTATTTTTTCTATGCCTCTTAGTAATGAAAGAAATATTAAATTATACCTAGTTTTAATAAAACACTTTAACGGTTTAAAACGCGATATATTAGTTAAACTTATTTGAAAACGTCGAGCCGAAGTTAAAAATAATTTTGAAATATGTTTAACTTATATATCGCGTTTTAAACCGTTGAAGTGTTTTATTTGAAATGTGTACTACTCGCGTAAACTATACCTAGTTACCTATACGAATTATTAACGCCGTGTTGTTCTAGTTAATGTACCATCACTACTCCTGACTTGAATTTTGTTATTTGTACGGACGAATGTTCAATTGATTTTAGATTTATAATCTACTTTTGAAAACGACCGAAGTAGATAAAACCTAAAGATTATGACTTGGTCAACGATTCACTTAAAGACTGTATCTGTATCATATATTATATTATGAGACATACAGGTCCCAGCGGTGGGAAATAGTTAAAAATACATTATAAACACATTATAAACAACATGTGTAAAATACTTCCTTTTTGTAATGAATATGTGCGACGGAAACGAACGTGTTAGTAATATTACAATTAATATTGTGGCCTTGTATTCACCTCAAGGTTGTTCCCATGTTTGTTTTTAAACTTACTATTATTTGTAAATGTTGTCAAAAACAATGAAGTCTGGCTTAAAACATCTGAAAGTCAAGAGCCCGGTAGCTCACTGATAGAGCAAGAACACAGACGGCATTGGTCTTGGGTACGAATACCGCTCGTATCATGATTTTTTACTTAAAAATACTTTTGAAAATCTCTCGTATTTTTATCATTTATTACTTTTTATCTTACTACGAAAGAGGTCTATACACTAAGTAATTTATATCATTAAATATCATTTTAAAAACTTTGGTCCACACTCAAAAAACTTTGAAAACTAGATTTCATTCCAAGCAAATGTCCTTAAGATATATTAAGGAAATAAAGAAAATTTAGTATTTATCTGTTTGTGTTATTTTTATCTGTCTTTGTATCACATACATTTCATTGAAATTTAATTAGAATCAATATTTAATACTTAACTAATTATTATTGAATAAAAGTCGCGAGCCAAATATTTTGGCAAAGGCTTTGGTGATTTTGAAATTGTTTTTAAATACTGTGTCTCATTGTTGTCGTTCTACAAATCTTCTAACTTTTTGTGCTAAAATAACCGTTCGCATATACATACTTTTTGCTACTATGAAAACGTAAATACGTTTCCTAGATAAGTCCTCATTAGACGTCATGGTCTTTTGTCACACATTAGGTGATTGCGCGGACAATCTAGAATTTTACTGTTTAAATGGTAAATTTAAAGGACGTAAGAGAAACACGAATTGACATTGTAACCTATGTTGTACATAAAATCCGACCTTCTATTTATCTAATCTACGGCATCGATATAAGAAATAGCGTAAGTTACATACAATGAATGCCGTCTTACCATCATCATTGAAGTATGCATAGTCCTTCAGCCTGATCCCATTTCAAGGGACTTCAGCCAGTTACATCATAAACGCCAAAATAGACGTGAAAATCTCCCGGGAAAAACAAACACAGGTTTACTCACTCACAAACAAAAATGAAGTTAAAAAAATAAAAACTTAGACAGGTTTAAAACATGAACTATCGGAATAAAAAAAATTAAAAAGCAAAATGATACGACAAAGTTTGTAAATACATAGCCTATAAGAAACGGAATACGTCCGAACACGACACCAACACTACACTGACTAAATCACTCAACGACGCACTATACTACGCGATATTTCTCACTCTTTCTAATCTACTATACCCCGTAATAACGACAGAGATGACAATAGTCCCATTGCATTTCTCTTGCAGTGCAATGCATTTTAATTTTGGTGGTGTGATTTAGTACTTAAGAACGTAATACGTAGTATTTTTAATAAATCTTTTTCACCAATATTATTTATATATCTGTAAAAAGCAGATGATCTGTAAAATAAAGCTTTTCGACGAAAGTATCATGGTTTAGGTTTTACAACGTCCTATGGTCGCTAAAGCGCTGCAAATTAATTTATATAGCCCGTTTTAAACCGTTAAAAGTGAAAATACAAATACAAATTTAATAGTATACTATTCGGTAATAACAGAAATAATGGTGTGCATTGATATACAGTCTTAGTTGTTTTATAAAAAAATCTATGCGCATTTTGTTAAAATAATGAAACAGTTCGTTACATAACAAAAACATAGGAAACGCCGAGGCCATTCTTAGCCGAAATAACTGTACGCAATTTTCTCAGAACGCAAGCAATGTAAATATTTTAAGTTTTTCACGGCCATGGGCCCATAACGCGCGCCAAGGGACCAAAAGCCTGAATATTGGAACACACACCTGAATGCTGATACAAGATGATACAGTTTCCGTACGCGTTCCACAAACTCGTTGATAGAGTTGGAAACGGATTTTAAACTACCGAAACCGAATGTTCGTTAATTTGAATTTCGAACATTGGATTACGTTTGTTTTATAGACGAGTTTATATTAAATTTATCTTTTTTAAACTAAAAAGTTCTTAACTTTAAAATAAAGTAAATAATATTGAACATGATAAAATGACGCATATACATCATTATCTAATTTAACTCTATTTAGCAAAACTATCTTAAGTATTAACTTGTGTAGCTTCTAATTTCGGCTAGTGCGTTCCAAAGTGCTGGAAGTGAAGCTGGGTCAAACCGAATTTCGTCCCATTCCTACTTGTTGAATATAGTAAGGCTTTTAGTGATATTGAACGAAAGTGTTTGTAACCCACTTTGTTCTTTATATTATTATTGATCAAGTCTCTAGTAAAATCTTAATAAAAGTGAAGTATAAGGGGCATGAGACAGACACATTTTTGAATTCGCATTACATAAGGATGATGAAACTTCTGGGTGAACTAGTTTTTGTCTCTTGTTCCCCAGGGTTCTCAAAAAAAAAACCCCCAACCCCCTTTTAAAAAATTTTTTCAAAAAATTTTTTTTTTTTTTTTTTTTTTTTTCCCCCCTTTTTTTTTTTTTTTTTTTTTTTTTTTTTTTTTTTTTTTTTTTTTTTTTTTTTTTCCTTTTCCCCCCCCCCCCTTTTTTTTTTTTTTTTTTTTTTTTTGTTTTTTTTGTTTTTTTTTTTTTTTTTTTTTTTTTTTTTTTTTTGGGGGGGGGGGGGGGGGGGGGTTTTTTTTTTTTTTTTTTTTTTTTTTTGGTTGGTAGTTTAAGTTGATCAAACCTTATAACTAGTTGTCCTGTTTCTACATGAACCCAGAACTATTTGCATTTCGTGAGAAATGAGCGCTATTGAACCATCGGTCTATTTCTGCTTTACCAATATTATGTAAATGATACCCCTATAACACAATCGTAAAATTATTATTTGACTGAGTAAGGAAATTGAATCTGCGTTTGCCGGGACGCTCCTTAAAATTCCGAAGACGCGTGTTAGTTATGACTGCCATAATTTTGAGACCTTTTATTTTGTATAAGAAAATTTCTGTTTTCTTTCCATTTTCTCCAATATGATATTCGCTTATCTTTTGTTTCGTTCTTAAATGTTTTATTAAAAAATGTCTATTATATCATTTGTTTATATTAACTAGAAAATGATGATAGTAAAAATATATGTTTTCAAAAGCTTATTACTACAAATAATAAACAAATGGAATATTATTTGATATTTATAAAACATAATTTTATAAAAATGAAAAATTGTAAAAGCAAATTAATTTTACAACTCATTCTTATTATATATACATAATTCATACGTATTTTGAGGTAAGGTAGTTTTCGAAATAAATGGATAATATAAAATAGCTAACAATTATTTCCGAAGTGATACATTAAATTAATAAAAAGATACCTTGACGAATTAAAATTAGTTAATATATCTATACATATAATAATGTTTTAGGGCCTAATTTTTTAAGAAATGTAATTATATTTTTTTTTAATTTATGTCCGTAAAATTATGAGTTCTTAGATCAACTTTAGTAGAGTAACTTAATTTGCCTGTTTGTAAACTGTATTAAAAAATTGTTATACTTAAATATATAAGTACTAAGAATTTTAGAGAAATCGTTGTACAAAAACAGAAGTAGATACTAGACATAACATTGAAATCAGAAATTATCCGGTTTTAAATCATTAATAGCTGTTTAATCAACTGCATCAGGCCTTGGCCACATTAAAAAACTATAGTCGATTAAACTACATAAGTACTTACGAATCTTTAATAAAACATACAATAAATACAATTGTGAAAAACTATATTCCAAAGAGATAAAAAGAAAGTTATTTATTTTTCCCCACTCATTTTGTACGTATTATAAGTAAAAAGTCTTTAAATAAAACACTTCAACAGTTTAAAACGCAATACATATTAGTTAAACTTATTTGAAAATTATTTTTATTACGGCCCGGCGTTTCGGATGCTTATTAGCAAAGGCCGTGCTCACGGGAAGTCTCCCGTTATATATCGCGTTTTAAACCGCCAAAGTGTTTTATTTAAATGTGTACTACTCGCGTAAACTACAGACAGTATTTATATACTCGTTTATTAAGTAAGCCTTGTTTCTGAAGTAGGTAAAACTTGCGAGCGTCCGCTAGTTACCTAGAACATAATACGGTTATGTAATAAGATATAATCAATAATCATATCATTCTTAATAGAAATAATAGCATAAGTAACATTTTTTAAATAGACACGATTGAACTAAAACCGCTTAGCCACATGTTCATTGTTTGTCCCGAGGGAATGCCCACATGGACCGAAATAGGGCATTTGACAAACAAGTGCAGCTAATACAACAATGCGTCCCGATCTATTTATCCCGTATGTGCTGATGGATTATTGGGATCGTGTGAAATAACACACACGTCATTTTAAAAGGGATGCACCCTATAATTCATTTGAATGCTCCTTTTAGGTCATTATAGCTGAATCGTGTTTGAAAATTTAAGTTTCTAAGTATGAATGACGTTTTTTGTAGCAATGGCGTTAAGGGGTAACTTAAAAAGATTAAGTCTTTATATTTTTATGTATTTATACGCTTTATTTGTTGTTGTATCGATATCAGTGTTTTGAAATACGTGACACTTTTTTTAGGGTATTTTTTAGCAGTTTAATTTTAGCTAATTTCAAGTAGAAAAATGCTACTTATGCTACTCTTTACAGTAATTAGGTACTTTACAATCAAAGTACTGAGTAACTGAATTCAATCAAAAACAATATATCAAACTTATTCAAGAATTTCATGGTTGCAATGGTTCCAAATTTTTTTATCATTTTGTCACGTATTTTAAACATATGGCGCCATCTGTACTAAAAATGTAAAACGACATGAAGATATTTTTTAAAGTGGTAATTATAGTAGTAGTTAAGCTCAATAGATGGCGGTTTTTACAATTAAGCTTCATCAGTATTAGCACAGCTTTAATAATGTTAGTTTACCATTATAGTGCACTAATTTTCGTATACATTTTGATTTATAAAATTAATATTATGATTAGATTCGATAAGATTATTAAAAAAAACACGGTATTACAGAGTGCCTACCTGGAGCCTTCAAATGTCTGTGGTCCAGTAACTTAAAATAAGTTGTGTTTATTTTATCTGTAATATTGTTTGAGCATTGGGTAAATCACTTCCGATTATTTGGGATTTTAATTTTTTTAAAGCAAATGACATTCTTTACATACAATACTACACCTCAACTGTGCTTAAACTTCTCACTTTCGTCATCATGACGTCAATTACACAAAGTTAATATCAACGTATTTATCACTAATAATTTCGTCGTAAATTTTGTAAGCATTTTTTATTAAAATCTACGTAGGTTTTATTGAAAAATGCGTACTGTAAGAGCAACTTGCAATCAGTAGATACTAGTATCAAATTCACTATGAGCTATGAATGATAATTAGTAAAGTGAATACCTATCCAACTACTTAGTTACAAGTTCTAGTGGTCCTGCGAAAAAATCAAAACATTTTACTTAATTTATTTTTGTATTTTGTTAAACAAATTATAATCATTACTATCATTGAATGAATAAAAGACGTAAAACAACTTGATTGTAACGACGTCATTTTGCAAGATCCAACACTGAACCCGTAGCGAGTGCTAGTTATATTTTTTTATTGTATGTATATTACTGGTATAATCTATTATTATTTGCATACTTAAAGAAGTTAAGCCATTAAAGTTGTTTGTTTTCTTTGATTTACTTCAATTGGACAAAGTAATAACGAACCTCCATGACATAGTAGGTACCTCATTTATATGACACTATTCATGTACAAAATAAGATTTAATATTGATAAAAAAATACGAATAATAATCAATAGTTAATAGACATGCAAAAATGTTTGTTTAGACGTTGCATAATCATAAAAAAAACGCAGTAATTAGAAATAACAAACTAATTTTAAGATTAGATCTATTTTTTTATCAGTAAGCGATATGAGGTCTCAAGAGCATGCGCAAATCGCCTTCAATGAACTTATTTGTACGAAATCGCGCCAAGCGGCATTGCAATATCAGTTTTGGTCTAGCACGCGCCACGCGCGGTTGTATCGAGGTGCGCCCTCTGTCTGACATTAGACTGAAACTCGTACAATTAATTCGATGTATGAGTGCATTTATATAGTTTTTATTCAAAATTCATGAGACAAAATGTGTGTTCCGAAGTGTCTGCTTGTCATTTCCACGCTTTCTCTAAGCCTCGTTCGCTCCTGGGGTGAGTATCGCAAAAATCAGCTGATGCGTGTCTTTTAAACACGTGTGATTTTTTTAGTTACGCAACTGATTAAAGGTTAAAACTAACGGAATATAACTCGAGTCTACGTATTTAATATTAGTTATTTTATTTATTATTTACGATTTTGAGCACCGGTAGGGTTCTGTCAATAAGGTGGTAATTTCTTTGGCGCCTCGACTCCATTACGAGGGGGCCGCAAGTCACGTAGGCCACATTGAACGGCACGACTACAAACCGACCGAATTTAAGAGTAACTTTATTGTTACACTGATAACGATCGAAAGCATACTTTCTATTTTAACGGGTTATAACCGAGAAACGCGAATTGGATAAAATGTGTCAGGATTAAGGACGCGTGCGGTAGAATTTCGTCTTTATGGATTTTTATTATTAATTTATTAAATATTTTTATTAGTTATTCAAAATAAGTGTCTAGACAAAAATTCAATTGATGCGCCATTTTTTACGAATAATTAAATTACTAGGATTTTATTTGAGCGACCTTGTTATGAATGTAATTTTAAATATCAACATCTATTTTATTATACAGTATCGACAATTATTGAGAAAGTTGTTAGCATACGATTACATTACTTGATATACCTAAGTACATTGAGAACAATTTGTTTGTTATAGTTGTAAGTTTAGATGTATATGTACCTACCTGTGTATTAATTTTTTGTACAAAATAAACTTGCCTTTGGTTTTGAATGATTCATGGGCATTATTAAGATGACACTTTAAAAATAAGCATTACCAAAGATAAGTAGGAACCTATCTTTCTACTGATTAATTATTTAAATACCTTCCTTTTTGTATTCACACTTGGTATTTACTTCAGACATGTAGATTTTTATTCATGTGAAAAAACAAGGTCATTTACTTACCCGAGCGTGTTTTTTTTACAATTCATTTAAAATATTGTTGTGAAATAATCTACGGAAATCTTATTCTCCATGAAAGATTATTTAATATGATAATTTTTATTGCACTGTCTTTTATATACTGTTAGCAATAATTTATAGTCAATACATGAGCACAGCCTTGGTCTAGTAGTCAACGCATTCGACTACAGATTACAAAGTCCCGGGTTCGAATCTTCGTTCGGGCAAAATATAACTTCGGTTTGAAAACATTCTAAGTATATTTCTAGTCCGGAGCTTGGAATTTAAGGTGTCATCAACCTGGGCCTTAGAGAACACTTTACTATGTCAGTCTCGGCTATCACTTCTAATAGGGGGGCAGTCGTACGACGCAAATTGCGGCGTGGTGGGCCAACACTCTCTTAAAAGCCTCTGTCTTACAAATTAATAGGTTGATACGAATCTATTCTAATATTATAGAGCTAAAGAGTTTGTTTGAACGTGCTAATTTCAAGAACGAAAGGTTCGAATTGAAATCGAGGAAAGAGTTTGATAAAACAAGAGGCTGCGACTAATAGTAATGAAGAAACAGGGGGTAATATGGAAAATCCGGGAAAAAGAATTCAACTTTAAGGCCGACTTCCGTTGCGCGCGCTGCAATAACGGTAAGGGAAACCAAAAAAAAAATGTATGAAAAAAGATTAATTTGAAATGATATTAATCTAAAAAATGTGCGCGATATTACGAGTACCTTTTAAAATCAAAGCGGAAAAACCATTTTTATGGTAAATCAAATTTGGTCGAAAATAATGCATTATTGCAAATTATTCATAATTTTTTTATATATTCATAGTAATTTCGCTAACAACAACACGTTTGCCGGATCATCTACTGGATAATCAATACTACCTATGTCTGTTAGTTTATTGTCAATCCCTATTACATTTCTGCGTATTATTCAAAATAAAGTTTAAATAAAACACTTTAACGGTTTAAAACGCGATATATTAGTTACACTTATTTGAAAATTATTTTTATTTCGGCCCGACGTTTCGGATGCTTGCTGCAGCTGTTTAACTAATATACCGCGTTTTAAACCGTTAAAGTGTTTTATTTAAATGTGTACTACTCGCCTAAACTATAGACAGTATCTAAAATAAAGTTATTAAGAGTATAAATAGCGGACACCAAGGGTATCGCATTAATTAAAGAAACCATTATCCCGTAATTGATAAGCCGAAGATGACATTTCAATCTCGTCAAGGAAATAATTGATGTCAACAATATTCTCTTATCATCGGAACCTTTCCTGCTTTCTTTAACCTTAGATTAAGCTATACTGCTTTTTGATATCCCTATTTTAATATACCAACTACTGTTTTATAGTCCAACTGTACTACAATTGGCAATGGATTGTGAAAAAGCTACTGCGTCAGCGACTTCGTCCACGTAGAATAGTCATTTTGGGCGTCCGAATTTGTTTTTGCAAACCTTTACATCTTTAAATATTTAAGCTGCCACGACGTCGGTCGCGTCGTCGTTCTTGCAAGTTAATCTTAAAATATAGATATATAGTGCCGAAGACATTTTTTTGATCACTTAAAGAGGAATCTTTAACGTGTATTTTTTCGATGGCATGAACCCTTTTCGCAGCATACGCATTTCGCATGTGAAACCACAGAGTTGAAAAATTTCACAAAGTTGAAAATCTTCGTTTCTATTAGTCACACCAATTGGAACATTTGGAACCCGTAGTTTCTGAGATTAGCGCGTTCAAACAAACAAACAAACTCTTCAGCTTTATATATTAGATAGTATAGATTTATCGACAACCGTTTTTAATCATCTTTTAAGTAGGAAAAGTCAAACTCTCATTAAATTTAGATAAATTAATTGTAATTTTTAAATTAATTGTACAGTCACAAAATTTTTGTGTCAACATTTTCAATTCGTGTCCCTAATAACATATTAATGTAAATTATCATTGAATTTAACGAATTCATGATACGAACAATCGAGGCTTGAGGCCTACTTAATGATAAAAAGAGGATTCTAATTGATCAGAATAACCTTTGCTACTTATTGTGTTGAAATGAAGTACAGGGTCGGAACCATTGCATTTCATTCTTGAGCGTGACTTGGATCTTACCACGGGCTACCAAATGAAAAAAGTGTATGCAAACGTTCTGTTATATGTAAGATTAATATTATGTCTATAAAACTCTAACAAATTATTGTTAATCTTAGAAGATAGACATATTCTGTGACGGACATTTTTAACATTGTTGAAAGTGGAATCATTCTTTCACACATATCTTTTCGTTTTAAACCGTTTTAGCAGCGCACGCAACGCTAGCCCTCAAATGCGAATAAATTTTCCTCTTTTTTCCTAATGGCCGAATCGAATGCTTTCCAGTAGTTTCTGAGATTAGCGCGTTTAAACAAATAAACAAACAAACTCTACAGCTTTATAGTATAGTTAAATACTAATACTCATAAATTAAGGCTTTTAGTATGGTTTGAATACCTAAGGTTACGTCAGAAAATATATTTAAAACAGAAATTCTTATTAAATATAGTTTACTAAAGCGTCAAAAAAAATGATATCATATACTGTAAGCATACTTATTCTGTCTAAGAACGGTTTACGTATGTAAACAATTTAAACAAATTTTGCTGGTTATTTAAGTTGTATAACTTATTAACTTTGTTTTGTGGCTTTTTTATGCAATTTATATATTTCTCGGTCTAGGTCAGGTCATTTAGTTCTTTCAAGATCATTCAAGTTAGCTAGATAGCTAGATAACTTATTATTGTCGTTATTATTTTGCTCACGATAGACTTAAATAAATCGAGTTGGACTCGAACCCGAAACTTATTAATTTCACACATTTATGTTTTTTTTTATTTATGACAAGCATAATTTTCACTTGAAGGTGACCTTAGCTACCATATAAGATGTAAACAAGACGCGCTGTCGACTTTTTTTGCTTTGAATATTCGGAAGTCCATAGACTGAAACCGAAACGTGATTAAACTCACGGCTTTTTCATTTGTGGATATTCCTCCCGCCCATTCCAGATTTCCAGACGAATGCCAACATTTTTCATAAATATTACACAATACGCCTTTAAATTTCTTGATTATAAACATGGTTGGTTGGGATCGAACCCACGACCCCAACATACATTGCTACCATTAGCCCAACGGGTTGTTAGAATAACGGCGAAATGTAAATGGACTATAACTTACTTTAATTACATTTTTGCATGGTTTCATTTTGTTAACTGATGACGGTTTTAAATGAAGCCAAAAGTCACGTAAGTCGAAAAATATTTATAAGATAATCAAAATAATTGATGATCTATGTTTACCTTATCACTCGCGTTTGTTAATCCCTGTTTGTTTGTTATCAGCTGATATCATTTGCATTACTTATGCAAATTCATTATTTTTTGTTAAGTCGAATAATTATGGTACAAGCACAAAAACTACGCATCTGTTTGTTAAATCCATATAAGTTACTAAATATAAGAAAATCCTAAAGGTTTTTAGAGAATATGCAGTAGATTGAAATAAAACACTTAACGGTTTAATATGCCATATATTAGACTGTCTCCCCATGACCACGGCTGCTGCAAAGCATCCGAAAGTTTAACTAATACATCGAGTTTTGAACTGTTAAATTGTTTTATTTAAATGTGTACTACTCGCGTAAACTATACATAACGTATTTAGTATGCAGTAGTTTAAGTAGTCAATTTTGTTTTTTTAGAAACATACACTTTCGACGGGTTCGTTGGTCGAATGCAATGTATGTAGTATTCGAGTCGTGGGTTTGATTCCCACCGAGTAAAACGTGTTTCTAATCTATTTATAATTGTTCTGTAACATAAAATATTGTCTGTATTGTGAAATTACGTAAGCATGTTTTAACAATATCGACACGAAATACATATTATTCAAAATAGCTGGTAGTTCACGCGAGTACTACACATATAAATAAAACACTGTAATGTCAAACCATTACAGTGTTTTACAGCATGACGTATATTAGTTAAACTGGAACCTATTTTAACTACGGCCCCGTGAATACGGCGGGCCGTAGTTAAGATAATTTTCAAAAGTTTAATTATTATATATCGCGTTTTAAACCGTTAAAGTGTTTTATTGAAATGTTCTGTAACTTCGTCTAGAAATCTGGATATTAATTGGGTGGCAGTTAGTAAAAGCTTTGTAATTCGAAACTAGAGACACACACTCCTTGATGGTGTAATGTTTGTTTACCAATGCGTGATTTATTTAGAGCTAAATACTTTGAATCCCTTTGAAATTTATTCATATACATTAAGAAATTTCATATTAAAATAAGCCACTTTTAAAACGGTTTAAATTGTGTAATATTTTAGTTAACTAATTCTTACTACGACAACGGCTGCATAGCAGTGGTAAAACTAATTTGTTTTACGTTTTAGACCGATGGTTGTAGGTACCTATGACTACTCATGTACACGATGCAAATATTAATGCAAAATCATTGTTTTTTTGATGTTTCAATTTTCAGTTTTGATTTAAGATTGATATCTTATTTCGAGTGAGAGATTGGAATCAGTATTTCGTAATCAAGAAGATATTGTAAAATCGACAACTTGTGATGACAGAAAAAATCTATATTTTAGATTAGATACACGAATTAAGAATACTATCATCCCGGATATGATTGCAATCTTATATATGTTTATAATTACATTACTTGTAACCATAAGTCGCCTATATGCACTCAAAACTAAGGCAAACACATTAGGCCGCTAGAGCCAGAGTAGCCTAACTGCTATTTTTTAAATGACTTATTTTTATAGTCTATAGATATTATTTTTATAGTATAGTTAAATGTTAATGTATAAAAGCACAGTGGCGGAGAATTGTTAACATAATTCTTACACAAGTTAGTACAAATTCATTTTTACCAAAGTTAATTGCTCAATTTTATTTTCACCCTTATTCGAAATCGTTATTAGGCTACTCTGGCTCTAGCAGCCTCACTTGGTCCTTATGGTCCACGACCGCAGAATGACCGAGCTCGCAAGGGGAAAAATAAATAACTATTGAACCATATCATCAAAACTTCTGTATTTAGATTTTTTATCGAATTATTTATAATGCTTATGTCTTATATTAAAGCAATCTAATCTAGGATTCTTTAGGCCAGTTATTAAAATTGCGCATTAATTAAAACCGAGACATTAAATAGATATCTATTATTTATTAGTTAGCTCAATAAATTATAAATATGTTAAATTACGTTTCGCGTTTTACACCGTTAAAACGTGATTTCACGTTAACAATTACATTTACAATTAGATTAGGATATGTAATGGTAATTTGTAGTCCATTAAATATAATTCTTCGCCTACGTTGAGCATGGGACATTACATATTTCCATTCGTGTTCGGTTTCGTCACTTTTGTTTCTAAAGCAACGCGCAACAATTTATAATATGTAATAGGAATCGAACCCAAAACCTCCGGCATTTATCGCGTTTAACAATTGATCCTCGAGGCGGTTTATCAACACGACAGTCAAATGTTTTGGCAATGACATTGAAATAGGTCACTGCCTCAACTTTTATCATTCATGAATCGTAATATCCGTATCCCGTTGGAAAGACCTGGTTATACCAGGTGTTTGACGTATTTGACTCTATTGACGCAGTCGCTAAGAACAACTTCAAACCGGTTGAAAAGTTTAAACCGCTCAAGTGCCTTACTTAAATTGCGTTATTATACCGTAATAGGTATAAAAATGTTGTTGAGACACCTGTATAGGACTATATGAGACCTGGAATCTTAAACGTGCTAGGAATAACAATGCAACGAATTTAGAAAACAATTCTTATTGGGTTTTTATTTCGGGGTCGTTACGTAATTGTTAACTTAGCCACGACCCCTGTCTAAAAATTCATAATATATTATTATGCACTAAAATAAAATGTGAATTTATAATTTCACTTATACATTACATTACCACGTTTTAATAATAATTATCTATACTAATATATAAAGCTGAAGACTTTGTTTGAACGCGCTAATCTCAGATACTACTGGTTCGAATTGAGGAAGGCTATATATCGCGCTATATATAAACAGCGGAAAATGTGGAAAATCAATTATCTTTTTAGGTTTTCGATGCGCACGCTGCTAAGACGGTTCTAAATACCCAAAATAAATGCACAAAAGAATAATTCCTCTTTAAATTATCTAAAAATGTTGATCATATCACAGTAGTCCGTGTTTTTGAGATTGCAAAAACGACGGGACGTTGATGGTGTCGTTGGTAACAGCTATAATTTTTAAATGAGAGGTATTAAAAAATAAAATTTTGACCAAAAATAACTATTTCACACGAAGTCACTGGCAGAGCTATTATTTATAATTGTAAAAGGTAGTAAAATTAATACAAGGAAACGGAACAGAAGCACAGTCTACACCCTCAAACGTCAAACGAAATGCGGAAATCCGAACACCTGTAACTGTAACATAAAATATATTCATTGAATAATAAGATCGATCGATAACTTAAATGCTATGACGCGTCTGTCGAGTACAAACGTGTTACTAACAAACGCAATTGATTGTAAAGGCTACTTAACATTCATTAAAGCAAAAATCTATAATTTAAATGTGAGAAATTACTTTTAAGTAAACTTAGTAGTCAATTGCATTTTCCTAATAAACCAATTTCCTGGTAGGAGTGGTGTTAAATTATCGCCAAATACCTTCGCAAAGTTATAAACAAAACGTGATTTTACCAGTTAAATATCGCGTAAATTACAGCACGAGTATATTAAACGATATTCTTCGATTTGGTTTCCTTGATGGTGAATGGTGACATACCCCAGAAATCTAACATGTAAACAAAAAGCTTCAGATATTCCAAAATCCACAGACTGAAGAAACACAGAAATGCGATTTATTTTCATTTGAGGACGGTTTTTATTTAACCCGCACGGGATGATGTTGGGCTCAACTCAGATCTATAATCCATTTATTATTAGCAATACATTGCTACCATTAGATCAACAAACTCCTTATATAAGCACTTTAATGCCTCAGGATTCGAACCCAGGTGGCGTTCCATCGTGAATAATTACATTTTATACTGAAATATAACACAATAAAAAACTACCGACAATGTCTAATATAAAGATAAGGCATTCATTTTTTGATAGTGAAATAATTCACTAAGTGTTATCATTATTTACTTCTTAAGTTTCATAACCTTGATTATAACAGTTATGTTCACACTGATATAATAAATAATGTGAGAAAAATATAATAAAAATCATAATAAAATTACTATCTTTTGATATATTACGTATTGGCGTTTATAGTTATTACTTTTTATTTTACAGCTTTTTAATGTAGAGACTATAAAATAATGAAATATTTGTTATTTACTTCTTATAAGGGGCGTGCAATTAATATAGTTTATTAATTGGTATTATTAGCTTGATAACTATAATAAAAAATAACTTAGTTAGTGATTATTATTGTCAAATATCGTAAACAAATAGAGCGTCGATTTTTTTCCCAGTTCTCGTTCTTTATATGACCTCAATGGCAGTAACGAAGATCTGAGTTATTTGATTTAACTTAAATTGTATTGTCAGTCATAAAAGTACTTATGAATATAAATTATTTAGTTTTGTTTGATTCATTGTGAAGCAGTGATATGGTAGAATACTATTAAAGCCAAAAACGGAGGGGGTTATTTTTGAAAAATTTAATAATAAGAAAGCAATTTTAATCACTTGTAGATTATGTTTACGCGTCAAAAGAGACGTAACAAGTTACGCTTTGGGCGTTTTCCAATTTTCTCGCCTACCTCGTGACTGTATCGTTATCAGTATTAAGTAATAATTGGCTGATAACAGCAGGCATATTTACAAAAATAAGTATTAGCAATAACCCTTAACTCAGCTCAATTTTTCTACACGTTAGAATAATATTTATACCATTTTATGATAGGAGGGACAGACAAACATGGACTACACTTAATGGTAGGTCACCTCGGCCTTATAACATCTAAATCTATATCCTGTCGATCTATTTTGATTTTTCATTTTCGTAAATATACGGACTGAAACCGAAACGCGTTCAAAAATCACGGCCTTTTCATTATTTACCTTTTATCGTTAGTTATAAATGTGCAATGCAAAGTAATCACGTAGATAATATAAGCCTGTAACAAAAAAAAAATAGAGTTCAAAACGCGAACTACTTTATTTCGAAATAAATCTACGACGAAATACAAAATAAATGTATGTAAAATTTTGCACAAATGGACAAATATAATATCAATCTTTCAATGACATTATTTTCAAGCAAATAAACTTGTTATTGCACCTTTAGTGAAGTGCTTCAATTAGATATTTTAATTTGCACTAATTTGCGTCTTACGACTACGTTACGTAAGCGTAAAGGCTAACCTCAACAAAATGACTGTTGGTCATTGGAATCGATCCATCGCATTCCTCTGCCAAAGTATGCAAGTAGCGATGATGAAAATAAACTCAATAAAAGAATAATAATCACCAAGGGTTTATTTCGCTTGCAAATGATACTTCTCAGTACTCAGTACCTTTTTGTTTCCAGATATCGCCATCACGACGGGGGATCAATTAGAATTTTATACGAACAAAACGAAAACAAACATTGAAGGGGAGAGATTCAGAGATCTAACCGCCTTGGCTTATGATGCCGTCCACAACATGTTGTTATTTGTCGATAAACAAAACGATAACGCGTCTATATTTAGTTACAACCTATCCTCAAAGAAGTATCAACCACTAGTTGGCAGGCGGTCATATGAGAACATACAAGGACTTGCCTTTGACCCTATATCCGGAAAATTGTTCTGGACAGATACGAACGAAAGAAGTATTTACTGGACGTCGCTATGGCCAAGGTCGAAGACGGACATTTACGGAAAAATCTTAATCAAAATGGACCATGAAGTACCTAGGGATGTCGCTGTTGATAGTTGTAGAGGGTAAGTAGAATCATACTTTCTGAGGTGATAAATGTACCAACTGTCAAAGGTGTCACTATTGAGGTTTAAGTACTGTGGAACGGGCGTTTCTAGGCTTAATTATAAAAACTTCCCTCCTTTATTTCAGTTACATTTATTGGACCAATACAAACATTACAAAACCAACGATTGAAAGAGCACGCTTCGACGGCAGTGAAAGGCAAGTCATCATTGACACCGATATCCACATGCCCGTCAGCATAGCCGTGGACCAAAGAACGAAGCGGCTGTACTGGGCTGATGATAAAGAAGGAATACATTACGCCATTGAGACCTCCGACTTTAATGGCCAGGATAGAAAGAAAGTTATCGTCGGGACGTACCATCAGCCGAATTCGCTGTCCGTATCGAAAGACTCAATATTTTGGGTTGACTGGGGCTTTAGATCAGTGTGGAAGCTTGATAAAGACGCACCACCGTACACTGAACCAGAAGAAATCATAGCCTTCACAAACGAAGTTCCCTTCGGTATCGTGGCAAACTATCCTCTTTCTGATGATATAGGGGGTATTCCAGAGTGTCAAAAGTTATCAGACTATGCCCATAATAAGTCGCAAATGAACGAATCGTTCACGATACCGACCGATATTGGTCTTTTCTGTTTGCACGGGGTGAAAAATGGAATTCAATGCAAATGCTCTCCAGGTTACATCGGGGACCGTTGCGAGATATCCGTCTGTCAGAACTTTTGTTTGAATGGCGCTTGTGAAGCGACTAAGGACGGACAGCCTACCTGCAGGTATACCAATTATAATATTGTTTGTTCATTTTGTCTTGTTGATTGATGACTGTTGTAAGAATGTATAAACAATGTTTATTTTGTTTCTAAGAATTCTAATATCTCTTTGTTTTAGGTGCAAGAACGGTTTTACTGGGCTGCGGTGCGAAATGAATGTTTGTAACGGTTACTGTTTGAACAATGGCGACTGTTCTATTAGCTCGAAGGAACCTATTTGCAAATGTACAAACGGTTTTGAAGGTGACCGATGTGAAATCAAGAAAATTGATAAAAGCATGACCACCGCGTTACCAGAAAGCACAACACCAATTCCTTCAAAGGAATTATGCAAGTAGGTTTAATATAGATCGTGTTTTTTTTATTATTATAAACTAATTCCATCATAATTAAAGACTGTCTCGTATTTGACATTGATTCGCACCAGTTATCGCTAAATCAGGACAAATTATTGGTCAATGTCAAGAGTAAGTTAGAGGCATTGTTCTGTAATTCTTTATAACACTGTAATTTGATCTGAGAACTGTAATTTTTCCGAAGTGCGTACAATTTTCAAAGTCAATGTAAGTTGGAATAGACCTTGCTACTAAATTGCGGAAACCGTAATGGCTTAGTGAAATATAGAATAATATTGGTTATATTAATTAGGTTAGGTACTATCGTAATCATTTAGATATCTCTTTGGGATATTTTATCAAGCGATACACCAAAATTATAATATGTACTTATTCTAAGATATTTTGAGAAAACTGTACTGGCGTACGGGACACGTTAGCGAAGTTGATACAGCAATAGCATGGAATGATTTTATATTGGGTTCGACTCCCGCTTGTGTCGTTATTTAACAAATCCAAAAACAAGTTTATTTTTATAAATATTCAGTATTTGACGTGACGGGCCCGTAGGTGTAATAATACCAGTGTATTGCTAATAATAATCAAACTGGTCCACCAATAGTTCCATATTTTCTAATCAATTTTTAATCTATCAGAAACATGGTGGCTTTCTTCTAGAAATCTGGATATTAAGTGGGTGCTAAGGATATCGAAATTCCGTCGCACGAACCACCATCCACAGATGGAAGAGCCGTGAAGTTTAAATCTAAAGCCAAAATAGGCCCCCCCAAACCGCGATTTCGGTTTCAGATGTTTATGGAATTTCTAGCAATCAAATGAACCTTATGCCCTCCACCAATCCAAATTAGGTCGACCGTACATATTTTGTTAATTGTTGTTTAGGTGACTGTATTTATACCTTTATATACTTATATGTTACTATTATGTAATACTCGATGTACTCTTAGGAAATATAATATATAATATCTTTAAATAAAACTAACGGTTTAAAACGCGATATATTAGTTAAACTTATTTGAAAATGATTTTTAACTTCGGCCCGACGTCTTCTCCCCTGACCACGGCTGCTGCAAAGCATCCGAAACGTCGGGCGTTATAAACGTTATTTAAATGTGTACTACTCGCGTAAACTTAGACAGTTTACATCTTTTTTACGATTTGTTATACGATGCCGGTTAAGTTTTCAAATATAATACATCTTGTTACAGTTGCACACAGCACAACACAACTCCCCCAGATTCCCTACTAGTGGGCGATGACTTCATAGACTCATGCGCCAGTTGGGACTCGGTTAGAGATCCTATACTCATGGTCTTAGGCGTTCTGTGCGGTCTGCTTAGTCTCGTCTGCGCTATTCTCATCACGAAAATCCTTCAACTGAAGAAACGGCCCAGGCAAGTTACAGTTTAGTTTTTTAGCAAATACATCCTTCATTTACTTTTTTACTTAAAACAGTATTTATTTATTAAATTTATTAAAATAACACTTATTGGCTAATAATCAACGGGTCTTGGATTCGATACCCATCGCAACAACAAGATTCTTCGTCTGGAAATCTGGATATCGGTAAATGGGTGGTATGGAGTTCGACATCCATGTCCGGGTCATGGACTACCCTCCACTGATAAAAAACTTTGAATCGTATTTTGGTTAAATTTTGTGTATTTTCGAATATTCCAAGCCAAAATAGGTCGATTACGCATCTTGTTCAGATGTTACTTGTATGTCCACTCATAAAAAAATAGGAATTATACGTTTCGTTATTTCCTTGCTGATTGGAAGGTAGATATAATCTATGGATACGTTCCACATAGAATTAAAAGTGATATGTTTCCGCTCCGGAAAAGCTTGGATAATGATCATATTTTTAAACCCACACGCGTAACTTGAAAAACTAGAAAGTACATAACCTTCATGGTGAAGGAAACGCGATCTACAGATAATAAATTAATTATATTATAATACGGCTTACGATTTTAGTTTATTAGGCAAAACATAGCTTGAAAACGCTATTGAATAACGCTTGCGAAATTTGTATGACCCAGCAACCGAAACAATCAGTTTTTATTGATAGCCGATATGTAATTGTTATTTATTTGATACAGATTTTAAATCAATTGAATGAAGTCATGGGACCACATTATAAGTCTTTTGATATTTGTATGTCATACACAATATGTATGAGATATTAACTTTTAGGTAAACAATATAAATAAGTTTAACTAATATATCGCGTTTTAAACCGTTAAAGTGTTTTATTTAAATGTGTACTACTCGCGTAAACTATAGACAGTATTTAATATAAAGAAGGTTATGATTTAAAGAAAATCCAATATCTAGTTTGGTTATAAAAACTTGCATTAAAAACAATATTTTAAAGCGTCTGGCTTTTGGGACCAACTGAATAAATAAAAGCATATTATGTCGTTTCGAAAGAATCTCTTACGATTACTTATGTAATAATAAAAATCAGTAAAAAGGTGGCAACATATGATTAATTATTCCATTATTAGGACGGGGCGGAAAAAATTCTCCGTCCTTTTCAATTGTTATACAACATAGTAAATTTTTTTTTATCGAAATAACAATTATCTCTTTTTCACTAATAAATTGTTATTTTTTACAGGATCAAGAAGAGAATTATCGTAAACAAGAATGTTACGCCGTTGACTGCTCGTCCAGATCAATGCGAAATCACCATTGAGAACTGCTGCAACATGAACATTTGTGAAACGGTAATACATTACCAATATACATATATATTTATATTACTGTCTCGAAAAAAAAATCAAATTAAAAAAAGCAAACAAAAGCAATGTGCCATTTAAAAGTAATCTTAAAACTATATAAATTTTAGTTAATAATACGTTAGAGATTGGATTCAAACGCTAAGGAAAAAATGGCTTTTATTATGTTTGTTATAATTTGCTCATACGTAATACTAGTCTTATCTGTGTATAAGTTATTTATTGTTGCAAAATATTAAACAAACATGATATGATCGGGTCGCACGTACGCCACAGTGTTGCTATATTACAAAGAATTACTGAGATTTGCAATACAATTTCGTTTTACAATGTTAGTTCCGGGCAAAAATTAAGTCATTTATTGATATAATAATTGTCAACATTAAAAAATATAAGAACGATGGACATTAAAACAAACAACTAAATGACGTCAATTTTGTTTTAAATGTGCTTTATCTGAGTAAATTTTTAATATTTCCTGAATCGTTATTAATTTAAAAACTTTTCAGCCATGCTTTGAACCGAAGTCAACGATAAGGCCGAACCTGCTCAACATCAAACAGGGGAAAGAAGAGAAGAAAAACCTAATTTCCAATATGGAGACTCCTGATGATTATTAAATTTCAGCGCTACGGTGTCAAGGCATCTAAATATTTACCAAGAGTTGTGATATTCGTTGTAGGATACATAAAAAAACGATATACTCCTACAAAACCCAGTGTCCTATACAGTTTAAAAGTTTAACTTAAAATCTAAGTACAAGCGAACTAGATTTTAAAACTGTACAATACTTAAGATTAAGTGACGTTTGTTAACTAATGCGTAGAATTTCCTCCGCGATCACGCAGTGCCTTTTCCATAGCATTTTTTACTATCTGACCGGTGTAGGAATTATTGCGACTTCTATATTCTGGTTATCAGCAAGGTACAGTACTGACTTCTCTATCTTCCCCATGATAAAGTCTACGAATACTGCAGTTAATATGTCGAGCTGTCAATCGTCTATCTCGATAGATATAAAGAAGCACTAAAATGGGTCTAAAGCAAAATTCTAGGTAATCTGTTTTAAGCTATTATTTGTGATACTTTAAATTGGGACTGAAGTAAAAGTAATTGCTTATTGATTTGCTCGCCAAATATCTGTAATGCGTTTGAGGGATTTACATGTTCCTAATGTCGAGTAGAAGAAATATACATAGAACAATACCATACTTAAATATGTACTTAAGTAACGTGTACTTACGTACATATCTGCCAAAGAAAATTTAAAAATACTTAATTTACTTATGAAATGTACGTATAAATTATTTTGTTTTTAATATAATCAATTTTTTGTATAGAAAATTAACTTGTGTCGATGAAAACATTTTTATTGATTGTGTTCTTCGGAAACTTCCAAGTTGTGTTCAATACGTGAGCGAGCGAGTCGGGCCCTACTATTGCACAACAAAGTTTATTATAGGTATGTTTTCAATTATTTATCTATATATCTTTATTTAATTAAAGAGGGTTGAATAAAAAAGTATTTTTAAACGACAATATAGAAGAAACAACTTAACTTTATCAAGTTTCATCTCTTCATTCCATAAAATAATCTGACATTAAATATTTTATCATATTTTTATTTCTATGGAAAATGTAGTAAACCATAGTTAAGATACTAATTGGTATTTTATTATGTGAACTTATTTTTCCGCGATTCTATTGAGTAAAAGAATAAATAGTAGTGGTCCAAGTACACGTCAGAGGTCCGTGGTTGCTTTTTTGATTGTGCCTCGTTTACTAGGTAATATTTGTTCCTATAGTTTAAGCTATTATGTTTTAATCCTAATGCGCTCGAGTTTAACCATATTTAATTTACAAAAAAATATTCTAAATTAACAGTCACAAAGGAGTTTTACATTTAAACGGCTGTAGAATCTCACTTATGATTTTTTATATTTCCAAACATTTCGGTATTAATATCATTATTTTCTAGACACTGTTAATCATTTGAGGCACTTATTTATTTTCATTAGCATCCGCGTAGATGGTACTTAGTAGTTAGAAAAGATATATCATATTAGATGTAGTTTACCATAGTGCGTGGATTGATAATATCCACATCAGAAATGTGATATTATTGAGTCTTTGTATAAGTCTCTATTAGGTATGAAGATGTTTTATTATAAAATAAAGCGCTTTGCATATTTCTTGTTTTATTGCAACCCAATAACATTTTTCATATTCAGTCAATAATTGCGTTCTAATAACGGCTTTATTATGGTGATCGTACATTTATTAGCGACGTACGCACCGCATTTCATGGTAGCTAAAAAATGCGCGCGTATTTAATGTTTTTTTTTATTCTTGATAGAAGAATCACTTGATGAAAGGGGAAGGTACCAAAAGCCATCTCTAACATTTAAACAAGATGTGCTATCGATCTATATTAGCTTTGCTAATCCGACTGAACTTTCACTTGAACTTCAGAAAAATAATCAATTGACCAAATCAAGCTGGATTTAACCCACATTGATTCTAAACAATGCTATGCTATCATTGGGCCGAGGAGTCCGTCACATCATATACAACAAAATCTAAAATGTATCCGTTGCTGACAAATGTGCGATCACCTTTTACATATAAATATATTAGAAATAGAAATAAATGACAGTTAACATTATAATATGATATACGTATGTCATGGTAATTAAAGTATAACGAAGAATAAAATCTTATTCACTCCTGTAATCTTGTAATATTTAACAAAACATACATCACTGTATGTCCATTTAATGAAATGAAAAACTTTAATATTAAGTTTTTTAGGGTTCTCGTTATGTCTAAAAACTTAAAAAAAAAAACTAATTCGGGGTTCCGTGGATAATTTCTCATACTTAAAGTATTTCAACTGACCTTCATTATTCTTATCGCAATTAACAATTTATCTACTTAAGATTAAAAACGCACATCAAACTATCACTGCAAAAAAAAATAACAAATTTGGATAAAATTTCAACAATAATAATCAATAGATAACATGAAATACAACCGAATATATTTTCATATTTAAACAGAACTTTACTAAGCAATTAACCCCCCCCCCCCCCCACGACTGCTGCAAATTTTTTTTGGATTCACATTGGTCGAGCCACAGTTCACGAATAATTGTTCTACATAAAATAATATGTACCTTATATATTGCTTACAAATAAATTACGTTTTAATTATGGATCTAGGAAGTTCTACGTAAGCTGTTTTTACTTAAGCCAATGATGATAATCGATAATGTCTATAGTGATATCCCCTTTTCTTGGCTAAGAATCATCTACCCAGTCTATTGTGCGTTTGTGGCCTAAACTGGACATCAGCTAAATAAAGTAGATTATTTCTTTGTGCCGTCAGCCAGCATAGCAGCGAGTTCAGCCACTCTGTCCCGATGGTCACGCATATAGGTCTGCGTCTCCCACAACATACAGACAAGATGTTCGTCGGACCGTTCGTCCATGGCGTGATCTCGGGACATTTGAGGCGAGAAACGGTAGTAGGGGACGCCGAGTGAGTGGCACCAGGCGCGAGCGCGCTCTACAACTCGCCCGTCCGCTTGAGTAGCCTGATCAACAAATTAGAAATGTTAAAAATAAACTCTTTAATAGAGTCTGAAACATATCCAGGAAATAAAACTACGGTTTATGTATTAGTTACATAAAAAAGATGGCGCTATGGAAGCTTTAGGGGAACTTTGTCATAAGGGACGGCCTCAAAAATCAACACCCCGTGACTACGGCCACATCCGAAACATAACAAGTGTTTTATTTAAAGCTCGATTGATAAATATAAATTTTACTTTCACGTATTTGTATAAACATTATGGTTGTTTATATACATATGTCGGTATTAGTACGGAACGTCAAAGGCAAGTCGGAACGATTATTAGGACGGGAAGTCAAGTGGCAGGTCGGAACTGTCATTAGTAAGGGACGTCAAGTGACAACGAAATAAAGAGTGCGCGCTTCGACAGAGTCTAGATGCGGTGTTCATCATCAATGATGGCAAAGTAAATTGTGGCACTTCAAATTGAACCGAGTGGATAACAAGAAACCCGTCCTACGTTTCTAACTAGAGTTTGTAGTTTGAAACATAACCTTAAATCATCAAGAGTTTTATTGTATTGCAACTATGATGAACCACGGCTGCGGAACTTATAAATTGAAAAGGTAAGAGGCAAAAATCTTTATATTGTACCTGATCAACCAATAGTTTCCCAATAGAAGACAGTCCCAATGCAAGCCTGGCAGTATCCCAGATACTTTCTGGCTTAAAGACGTCTATATCGTTTAACTTAGTGACTGGAATTATCCCTGAAACCCAAGAAAATGCAAATCATGAGCAGATGTAATTTACGACCAACCAAACAAAATAATACAAATTCTTATATCAAGTGAAGAATGACTTTTCAATCTCCTGTTTGGTATAGTTGCTCATCGTTTATTTAGTCTCAGGCCATCAAATAGAAAACACTTTTTTGCAATTCAGTTTATACAATGTTAGCTTAGTTTCTTTTGCTTAGTGAGGGTAGTTACAATGTGTGCAAACCCTTTTTTAAAGGTTTATCTGGTCTAAAGTAGCGGATCATTTAGTTTATAATATTATTTAATACTAGCTGCGCCCGAGTCTTTCGCGTCGTTCTCGCGAGTTAATCTTAAAAGATGGACATAAACTTTTACACTTTTTATTTGATCTTTTAAAGAAGATTCATTGTTTCATATATATTGGTTTCTTAAACCTTTTTCGCTAGAAGAGCAAGAGAAGCCCAAAGTTTAATAATTCTCCCTGTTTTTCCACATTTACAACTGCTTCTTCGTTCGTATGTAATGAGTGAGGAGATAGCATACCCGTTCCGCAAGATACAACAACTTTTAGGCGAGTTTTTTTAGCTGCTTCGTGTTGCCCCGTCGCTTCTAGCGCCAACCTAACTTCAGCTAGTTCGGTGAGCGCGTCGAGTGTGGGATTATTACCCATAAGTCCACCATCTAGGTATCTGGAAAACATAAATAACTTACTGTATTGTGTACAATGTTTGTACAACTATGAATAAATACACTGAACACACATTGCAGTTATTGAATTCATATACTGGGGAAATACTTACGTATGAAAACATTAATATTTTTCACATGTTATTGCACATGAAGGCAGTATTTATATATTTTTTTAAATTGATTTTCGATCTTTAAATAATACTTACGTATTTAAATACTGTCTATAGTTTACGCGAGTAGTACACATTGAAATAAAACAAACAAATAAAATACTGTCTCCCCGTGACCACGGCTGCTGCAAAGCATCCGAAACGTCGGGCCGAAGTTAAAAATCATTGTCAAATAAGTTTAACTAATATATCACCTTTAAAACCGTTAAAGTGTTTTACTTAAACTACTTACGTATTTGATAAAAAAATCAAAGTAGTATAAGTCTTATACAAACAAGCTTCGCTAAAACATTGAGTAAGGCTTTTGTAAAAGCAAGAAATATAACTTAAAATCGTAACGAAACTACCATAAAACAAGTTTTTAAGTGTTAAGTTTTTTGTAGTAACTTAACTACGTCACAACTGAAAATGGAGAACTTTTAGTGAATCATTTTTGCTTATTTCTTATTTTAAATACCTTACAGAAAGATAGAACAGAAACAAAATGCGCTGTCGACCTTATTTTGGCTTTGGATATTTCGAAACACAGACAGTTAGCGATTAAACTTGACGGTTTTTTATCTGCGGACGGTACTTCGTGACCCGGACTGAATTTCGATATTATTTTCACCTATGTAATATCTAGGTTTCCGGACAAAGATCCAACATGTGTCCAAAAAAATATACATTGAAAAATGCATTACAATAATGAATACACGTAAATGTTACCTGCCGGACGCGCGGAAATATGACGGTGCTGCACCAGACGCCCGCGCTGCCTCCCACACTAACTGCTGTGCAGGGGGAGGCGGCTCCGCTAACACTACTACCGATGATTTTTCACCTGCCTCTGCTTGAGGACCTGGTAATCAATACCACGATAGGAACCATGAGATTTTTGTTAATAGAAACTAGAAATTCACAAAATCTACTCTGATAATCTGAACACTGGGATCGGAGGTGAAATAAAAAAAATACTTAGCCTAAAGCATCTAAATTAGATGCACGACGACCTATTTTGGCTTTGGATATTCGGAATTTCACAGACTGAAACCGAAACGCGATTAAACTTCACGGCTTTTTCATCTGTGGACGGTGGTGATGACCCGGATGGAATTTTAATATTCACACCCTCCATTTAAGAAAAACTACTCTGTAAGATGTAAATTGTACCTTGTCAGGTACTTATTGAATAACATGATGTCTAAATCACTACAACATAATACATTGACAGTTAATATTAATAAAGTAACTTACTTAACGTCCCATTATACTGACAGAGAATGTCTTCTGCAGATTGATAATTCCTAAAGATGTGAAGGTCTACCGGTTTCCTATCTGCTAATACTGCTAATATCATTAGTTTTGGATAATCTATGTCCGCCATAACTGTCTCCGTACCTGAAAAAAAATTTAAATATAATTAAGCAGAAAAGTATTCCAAAATGTTGGAATCTTTGTCAGATTAACAAAAAATCGATAAATATTCAAATAAAACTCTTTTAACGGTTCGAAACGTGAAATGAATACTTTGGTTAACTTAATTCACCTTGTGTTTTTAACAGATATGTTTTAAATGTGCACTACTTGCATCCTCTGAAAGTTTTATTGGTTAAAATGTATATAGTCACCTAATTAATATCTTGAATGTTATTTTTTATTTTAAACATCAACTAAAATCACAATTCTCCGATGTGGGGATGTTAAATAAAAAAACTTACCGCATGCGTAACAGAGACAGAAATAGTGAGACCATCCTTATAACACAATTATTAATGATACAGTTATTTAACAATACACTTACCCAAACACTCCTTCAATATACTCTCGAGCGCTTCAGAGGGGTACGGCCTCATTCCAACAAAGGCAAATTCTTTCATCCTAAAATACAACATCTGGCATTCCCTCAGTGTTTTGCCAGTCGCTAGGGCCAGCGCTAGAATTCCGCCAGTACTGGTACCAGCAACCCAATCAAAACAGTGGATTATTGGTTTTCCGATAGCCGCTTCGAGATTAAGCAAGATTTGAACTAGCACTAAGCCCCTGATGCCACCGCCGTCGAGACAGAGTAAGCTGAAAAAGAAAATACTTATATAACCAGACCCACTCAGCTGTGAGGGATAGCACTGTTAAAGCCGTGAAATAAGTAAACTAATATTTTACGTTTTTTAAACCGTTTAAATTGTTTTATTTCAAAGCTGTGGCCAATATTAAGTGTGGTTTTTAGTTTTTTTAATTAGTACCAAATTTAAATAAAACACCTTCAAAGGTTTAAACATAGTAAAATGTATTAGTTCAACTTATTTACAATGATTTTCGTATTTGGTATTTGATGACACTGGCCAGGTCCTGGCAGAACTGACTATGGTGTTGTAGCATTGTACTAGTAGCGTACTAAGACGGCACTTGGGGTACATTTTCTATTTAATATAATTTGCTTTACGCTATCTTACCGCCCTTCGTTCTTAAGAGTGTCCTGGGTCACTGCTCTATCCATAGTTGCTGCTGTCAGCATATCGCAGATCATATCGCGAGTGGCAGCCCTAGCTATTGGTGGAGGAGGCACCCCGTTATATTCACCCCGGGACGAACAAGATGGCCCACATCCCGGTACGTCGGAAGCGCATCTGAAATTGACACAAATTTATTTATAATAACGTAAACAAATGAAATCACTAATGACAATTATTATCTTTCCATACTACAGACAATACTTATGTGTTATTCGATAATAGAGGAGCAAAAAAAAACTTATTTAATTTTTATGACACAAGGTGAGTACAAAAACCGTGTCACATGAAGTTTGAAATATTTGAAGGGTTGGTGTAATGGTAGCAACGTATTATATAAGGCGAATCAACGGGTCGATTCCCACAGAGTCCAAAATTTTTCTAATCAATTAACATTTGTCGGAAACATGTTGGACTTCGTCTGGAAATTTGGATAATAAATGAGTGGTAGGGATATCGAATTTCTGACCAAGGATTTTATAGCATACTACAAAGTTAGATATTGTGTATAACATTTTATTCTATATGACATCTATTGTTCTTCTATTAATGTATAAAAAAATCTTACCGTTGTGCTCCAACTGCATGTAAAATATACAGTATGGCGTCATAATTGCTATTAGACATCTCAGTTGGAACCAAATGCCTAGCGGTTTGACCAGAATTATTTTTGGCCTCCAAATCTGCCCCAAACACAACCAACGCCTGGACGATAGACGTGTTTGTTTGTTTAACCGCTAAATGCAACGGAGTGTTGCCCTCGTTATCGCCTATTGAATGTTCAGCTCCTCTTGATAGTAGAGCTGTTGCACATTCTAGCCTCCCTCGCAACACCATAATATGTAGGGCGGTTCTCCCGTCAAAGTTAAGCGCATTTATATCACAGTTTTTATCCACTAGAGCCTCGATCACTTCACGGGATAGCGCCCAGTGTAGAGGCGTACCCCCACGCTTCATATCTTCTTGAAACAATTTAGGTCTGTTATCTTGAACTACATCTCCAACAATACCTGGAACATAACAATACATTTATTATTTAGGTTACAATGACCTCCATCGTTCAATAGTTAACCGCGTTGCCTTGAACCAGCTTAGATTGTCTGATGTTATTTCAGACTAGAACAGGACACATAAATCTGGTCAGCTACTTTTCAGATCGTTATTAGTATCCGAAACTAACCGCAAATCTCTCTAAGAAGACACTTATGATTATGATTCATTTTTATTAAAGTGACTGAATGTTAAGAAACAAAACGATCAAATGACATAATATTGAAACCAAAAATACTTAAATACAATGGAAGAAGCCATTTGTATCATCATAGCACTTAATATGGCTTGGCAAACCATTATCCCAATATTATTGACTATTGTTCTCTCTGTACAGTGAACTATTTGTCCACTTAATCGGTTTCTATTAGGTATTTCCAAGTGACTAATACAACTTTAGTAGAAAAAAACTGTGCCTACACATAACATATAATTATTTAAAATTGCAATAAAATTAACCTCTCCGAGTTTTGTTTACACAATAGTTTATTAAGTTCTATGGCATTTAAACAAATATTTTTAATTATAACAAATAGGTCTAAGTGATGTTTCTGCCTATAGATTGATCAACTAGTATATGCGTACAAGTTGATCAATCTATAGACAGTGAAAAGTTAAAGATATAGTTTACCTGGTATTGCTTGTGTAGTACTAGCAGTGCGTTTGGCTGCTGTAAGATTCACATCAGCTCCTGCGAGTAATAGAGCTCTGACACAATCAGGTGCATCCGCAAGACATGCCATGTGCAGTGGAGTGTAACCTTGCTTGTTAAATATGTTTAGAGAGTTTGACGTCTTGCTAGCCAGAGCCTAAAAATATAATTGCATTTATGTTGTTATTATTATATGTATATCCATAGTACACAAGAAAAATATACCTCACACATTTAAACATCCAACAGATTTTTTATACATTGTTTTATTAGTAATAATAGATATGTTTAATTATGGATAAAAAATATTTAAGAAAAATAAAACTTCTTTATGATATGATATAAGCTAGGTTTAACCAGTTACATTTGGAAAAAGTTTTCAAGTAATTGACAAATATAATGTAATTTCCAAAACACATTACTTGATAAAAAGGAATGCTTACATTAATAACCTCCTTGTTGCTAGCAGCTGCATAATGTAAAACTGAATTTCCATCATGGTCAATTTTATCCAAAGAACAATCCATTGAGATCAGACTATGCACCATCCTTACATTACCGGTTCTTATTGCAACCTATAAACATACCACCATACTGTGTGTTTGAACACATTTTAGGTAACAATATTAGCTTAAGCATGAGCTCGGACATCTAGAGGTAATAACTTTTATATAATGGTAATTAAATCTTTAAACAGTGAAAAACTGACCATAAGTGATGAGGCTCCAGTAGCAGGATCCAACTCATTGATATCCTTTTGGACGTCTGGTTCATTAAGGAGTTCATATTGACCAAAATGTGCAACAATATGGGCAACTGTCCAGGACTTATGTTCACTTAGTATGTCACATAGCTTTTGTAAACTTGGTACAGTACACTGCAATGGGAATTTATAGTGGATAAACAAATCAAATCAAATTATGTAAGAGCACTGTAATTGCTATTATGTTATCGAATATTAAAGTATTATAGATCTTAATGTCACATAAAAGAATTTCAAATAATGTTTATTTGTACACTAAACATAATACTTTGAATGTCAACTTACCTCCTTAGTTATTTTAACATAGACTGGTATTCTGTCTTTGAAAATTATAAATTTTTCCTCAGATATCTCTCGACTTTCAGATCGAAATAGGCTGGGTGCAGATATAACATAAAATTACTTAAACACAAGTAATATACATTTTTTTAATAAGTAGTTTTTTATGTAAGACTGAGTAAAGAATACTAAAAATTACGAATAAATAATAGTGCATAAATCACAACGCAGGATATTTTACAATACTTGTCTATTTTGCCATACATATATACACCAAATACATCTAAAAATCCACTTACCTATACATTTGATGCAAGCTCTCAGTAAATGGTTTATGTAGTACGATTTCATAATATTTATCTTTATTATTTTTTCCATCATTAGGAACTTTTGGTCCATATAATAACATTGAGTCATCTCTGTAGTAAATTGGTCGAGAAACGTAATTATCTGATCGTACTTCAAGTACTTTTGTTGGTGGATCTTCTACGGCAAGCCAATTACGAAAAACTAGAAAGTGGTTTATAGATTAGTAGATGTGTAGAATGGTCTGAATATTTACAATGAAAAAAATATTGATTTTACATGAGTTAAACATTTTTTAAGACCGGATTCCTTACGTAAAGCGAACTAATTGTTATTCTCTTGAAAAAAGCTAAAACATGGTACGCTATACACTCCACAAATAAATTTCAGTTACACTTATTTTAATAAAATGCGACGATTCATAATAGTTTATTGAAGTTAAATCATCGGTGATCGGTTAAATTCTATCCCAAGTACTATGTATTAGACATTGTACCAAATTGACAGCTGTATAATGTCATGTTTGTTGACGTAAAAATATAAAACCTCGTTTAAGAATGTTTTGACATGTTTATTTTAATTCAAATCATTAATATTGCTTTTTATATATTCATTTTATCGATAATATAATATAGAGTGATTGATAAAATTTAGTAATAAAAAAGTGGATCAATACATATTATTTAATAAGCAGAGGTTACAATATTAAAATAAGTATAGGATAAATTACAAGTTCACAAAAAAACATAAGTATCTACTTATATTTTAGACACATGACAAAAAAATCTTTGGTATTTATTCAGCGAGGTTGACTACACAAAATGAATATAATAAAGATGTAGGGTAATTTAACGATACAAATTACACTATGATATTATAGTTATGAACAACATTACATAGGGATAATATGTTTTAGATACCCTACAATTATGGTTTAATTCATAGCAAAAATATTTATATCTGCTGTTATAATTCAAATACAAATATGGAGTAACTCAATTATATATTTAAATAAAAATCTAATTCCCTAATAATACTTATAATATGATAAAATATATAAATTTGAAGAAAATACAATTAACACATCAAGTAGTTTCACAATTTAAAATGTTATTTAAAACCTTTATAGGAGTAAAATTAGCTTACTACCAAACAACATATAATGTGATGCTAAAAGATTGAGACATTTGAATACATATCTGTAATTATAAAATGTAATAATAACTTGTTGCAGTAGAAAGCTTATATCAAGTTATTTAATTATTTTGTACTTTTATTATCTTTGACAAATCATTGAACAGCAAAAACAAGGTCCATTGTTTTTAAAATAACATGATAAATCTAAACTAACCTTTAGCTAAATTCTTTACTTAAAAAAAGCTTTAAAAAGTTAGGACTATTTAAAGCTTTTCTTAAAATGGTAAATGGATTATGCTGCATATCATGGTATTAAGCAGCATGGCTTTGGTTATGATTAGACCCAGGAATATTGTCGGGGTTAGCTAATGGATCCAGTTCAGCAAAAAGCTTGAACCAAGCAACTTTATCTTCTCTTTTTGGTGCTGGTACTTGTTTTGTGGACATTTTGGGATTTTCATCAACAGGATCAGTTTTCGTATTGAGAGGTTGCAAAGGAGCCTCCAAAAAGGATCCTGCAAAGTCCTAGAGAAACAGTGTAAGTCTTTAGTAAGAATTGACACAAACAATCAATATTACAAAATAGTACCCTGAAATAAATTTATTACACCAATATACTGATATAGATATGATTAGATTTAGAATAACTTACTTGTAGAAGTTGTGATGGCATGAAAGCAAAATTATTAGGCAAATCATTGCCTCCTAAATGTAGACCAGCTAAATCTCCACTACCACACATAGTTTCTTCTTGCTTTTCCATATCTGTGCTTATGAGGGTAGCAGAAGTGGATGCCTCAATTGGTTTATCAGTAGAAGTCTCCTTTCCAACGTCATTGTTGTTTGGGCTTTCTAAAGCTGTTGTTTTTGGATTGTCATCGTCCTTATATGCATCCTATAAATATATTAGCAATTTTTAAGAGGAGTAAGAACAGATGAAGTTCCTTAAAATATATAAATAAGTTACCTCAGATTTTCAGTAACCAACAGATAGATAGATATCTAGAAAACTCTTATAAATGTATTTTCTTTTAATTCAAAAAAATATTGTACTGATTTTAGTACTCTGCAAAAAGACTGCATGGAAAGAAAATGTCTTATGTGTATAATTGAAATGGAATGATAATAACCTGGAAAAACAAGAGTTGATCTTTGTCCTGACCCAAAATTTCTTCATCATTATCATTTTCAGCTAAGCTTTTTAAAATGCAGAATTCATATTGTGGAGTGGCACTCATACTTTCAATAGTGGCAGTTAACGTTTGTGCAGCCTTTGTAGAAAAGCTCAGAAATGAATTTTGGTAGCTTGACAGAACATGGGAGAACATGTTGCATCGGGCAGCAGCTAATAAGTCTATCTGCAATTAAATGATAATTTCTTTAAAAATCAAAAATAAATTGAAAAAAATTTTCGACTCGGGCAGGACAAAATCGATTTTTTTTTAAATTTATTTTCGATTTTTGAATTATATAGTGCCTTCATGTGCAATAACATGTGAAAAATATTAATGTTTTCAAAATGATAATTTCTTTATTAGTAAAACCTCATCAATTTTTAAATGGGCTGTTTGATTGGCATTATGAATTTAGATTAAACTAAGGTTTAGATTTTATGAAGGCAAAAGATACTTTTAATAAAGTTTTCAAATCATTTTGCATATTTGTTACTTTATAACCTCTAGGATGTAGGTGTAAAATCTTGTAGATTCTATGAAATGCAGTTAAGTATGAGTATGCTACTATACTTTGTAATATAACTAGTGATGTGAAAAATAATTAATAGTAATGGCTGGAGAATATTGGTTAAGACTTGAATTTTTCAGTACCTTTTGTAAAACATCCAAGGTGAGTTTATCAAAGTTTTTCTTGCTCTCTTTAACTTGGCGTTGAGCTTTACGAAAATTGTCTAGACCCTTTCCGGTATCGGGGTCCAACTGCGCGCTTATTGATTTCATCCAACTCAAAGCTGCACGATATTCAATTCGAGCCTTCTCCATTGCTGCTACTGTTAGCCGCATATCTTTTACAGCGCGACATCTGAATGTTTCAACCTCATGATATAGTCTTAGCAGGGGGTTTCTAACAGAAACACGCTGCTGGCCCGAGTATGAAATCGCTTTTCCAGCACACGCCATATGTTTTCCGGCTGCATCATTGTTTTTGCCCGCATCTCGCAAGAATTTTCCTAGAGTGTTTTCCTCTTGAGCTAACACACATAACCGTTCCTGATACTGATCCAATACACGCTGTAAATGCAAGCAACTGTCGGATATTGACTGAAATAATTCCAACTTTGCGTCGAGTTCGGCATCAGAAGCTACAATACATTCATCTTCTTTAGTGCCCAGTTTTTTTAACACTGTCTTTTTTGTCACCCAATATTGATGTTGCATCATATTCAAAACCAGTAGTTTAACTTTCGATACGTATGTACATGTACGTTAATTATAAATACGAATTTGAAGAATCGACTTGTATGTTTAATGATTGTAAGGATTTACTAATTTGTGTTTTTACTTTTCAGTGTCATTGAGCGACAGATAAAACAATTGTCAGCGGGCTTTGACATAAACATTTTGGGACCTAATCTGTTGACCGTGATACAATAAAATACATAAAACCTATCTACCATCGTATATTCAGAAAAAAATAATTTTAATAAAAAATTAAATATAGCTGTAGTATATTTTTATTTTGATAATTTAGATAAGTGTTTAAAAATGGTCTTAAGATTGTGGAGCAGAGATAGAAACTTCAATGTCATCTGTCTAACAGAAAAATCTTTGGTTATCATCTATGGTTTTGTATTTACAATCGGAATTGTGAATGGCCGCCGCGTTGTATAGTATTTTACGGATGTACAAGAAAATTAAGTAAAAAACTTTCATATTTATTATGCTAAACTGTTATCGATGAATACAACTTGTAAGTGCTGTTCAATGGATATCAATACGATGAATTGTACTGGTGATAAAATACCCGGAGTGTCGTCTTCTCAGTCTTCAAAGAATGTCAAAGAAGGTAAGTTTGTGATTGTCAGGTTTTGTTATTACTAGAAATAAGCATGGTAGTGTCAAAAATTATCAAAATCTGTATGAAAAATAATACTCGTGTCCCAGTTAAGCAAATATCTTAAGTTATAATAGGCGTGTAATTATAACTTTTGGATACATTAACATTTAATTCACCAAACAAAATCCTTAAAAGTAACAGAATAACTTCAACTGCTAGAAATATATTTGCATGATTTAACTATATATTTTATCTGTGTTAGACAAAGTAATTGGTAACAGAGTAAATACCTATAGATTGCTTAATTAGATAAGGGCAGGTTTGAAATGCTTGTACACAGATACAATTATTTTGTATGTATTATAGTATTGTCCGATAAAAAAGTATAAAATTATTAAACACTTGTGTGAATGGTTTGTCTTTTAAACTTATTCAGTCTGTATATAACTTCTTATCTACCTTTCCTCCCTAGTTACTTCATGATTTCTTTAATGTGTTTTAGTCTCCTGACCTTTCCACGCTCATTATGGTTTATTTATTTGAGTACACATACTGTGATACAAAATAATGTACTGCTCATTTACTTATGTGCTATTTAAAAACCTGTTGTGTATTGAGTAAATAAAATTTGGCTACAATTTCAATGAAGACTGATTCTTCATGTTTCTCCAGTGCCTCTCACATACATCATGGCAGCTAGATTAGGAAACCGAGTCAATTATTGTGTAAAAGAAAGGTTTTAGTGGCTGTAAGTTTAAATGTCATGGCGCAAGAGGCTTCATATATGTTAATTGACTTGACAGATTTTGATAAAATTTTGCTACTTTACACTAGATAAAAATGGACTTCTCTCACGATGTAAACTCTTTATAAACTAAAACAAACAGTTTCATTTATATCCTATATGACCATTTGAATTATTGTAAAAAAGCGTGTTTTGAGTTCATGATATTTTGCCGGAAATCGATTTGGCACCAAAAGCACTGAGTTGACAACAAGTACAAGATCAAACGTAAAAATAAAAAACTACATCGCTAAAGACCTATAGTTACTAGTTCAACAAGATCCTTAGTTGACGTCTTAACGGATACATTTCTTTGATAAGGAACTTTCAGATTGTTGTACACGATAAGATGTCAACGCGGGAGATTTATAGCGGCTGTCTCAAAAGAGAAATACCGTCGATTTTCAAGCCTTGTTACAAAGAATGGCTCTTCTTCACCAATCATGTTAATAACCGGATTTAAGTAAACTTTTACGATAATCAAATTTTTATTTCAAAAGTCCCTAACATAATTAAAGTTAAAAGGAATGCACTACAATAAATAAAGAGGTTTCTATAAAAAATATATTATTTCAAAACATCATAATCAATGGACTAAAATTGAATAACCAGCAGCTTATATGCCTTAATATATTTGACCAAATGTGAGATCGTAGATGGCACTTGTCGAATTTTTCGGTTCCAGAACATGCAGTCATTCTCACAATGTTTTCCTTCGTTGTAAAACACGAGTCTCACGGATAAATACATATGGACAACAGATATAAATTATAGTTATTCAAATAGATATGTATACCTAAATAATTTTCTAAATATTGATTACACTCATAAGTGTATAATATGTTCGCTGTGTAAAATACCTGTCTAACAACCCGTACTGGTAACACGTAATATTAACGGTTCACCACGCACGGGTGCTTGTGCATTTGTCAGTTTTCAACTTTTTCAGTTTTTTCTACTCCGTTCGCACACCGGCGTGCGTGGTGATAATAAAAAGCTACCTGTCCGAAAGGTATGCTGTTGGAAAAAAAGGCTTATGGGCCACTTTGCTATAAACATTTTTGACATAGTAGATCTTGTTTCTTGATGTTTTAAATGCTCCCATAATACTGTCTATAGTTTACGCGAGTAGTACACATTTTAACGCGTAGAAGTTTTTACTTCGACGTCAGAGACATCCTCCAACTATTTTTTAACCTTCAATTATTATTCAATTAAGTTTAACTAATATATATCGCGTTTTAAACTGTTAAAGTGTTTTATTTAAATTCGCCAATAATGTCGAAATTTGTTTTCACTGAGTTTAAAATATTTGTAATCGTAAAATGGTGTTGTGTTACACGAAGCTAAGTGAATTTTTCAGTCTACGGATGGATATATAACAAAAGAGATACACAATTACGCTTATATAAAACTACAATAATTATTGTGGTAATAAACTAACCTCTTAACCCGAATCCTGCTTAATGCATAATTTGCATCACATTACTCGTTACGATTATTACGCAGTGCGTGTTTGTTTTCGCTTTGTTTACGCCTGAAACTGGCCCGCGTATCAGTGCGGTTGTCAGCGTTTACTAACATTACAGTGCCTATTACAGTATCTGCCAGAGCAGCTGTTCGTATATTCCTGATATTGCATAAATTGTAGAATGCGTAATCATACACGCTTTACGTTAATGTTAATAACATATGAGCGGAGTTTTCTTTGTTTATACTTGTTAACTGTGCAGCGACATCGTCCGCGTGGAACAGTTATTTTGAGCATTATATTATTTATTAGCTCAGTATCAGCGACTAGTTCCGCGTACAATAGTTATTTTGAATATCAAAATTTGCTTTTGAAAACCTTCATCTAGATTTAAGTTGTTACCCACGACGTCGGTCGCGTCCCGGCGTTCTTGCAAGTTAATTTGCAAAGATAGATATAGAGTAGCGGATATTTTTTTAATAATTTAAAGAGGAATCATTCCTTCATACATATTTGTTAAAGGACTTTTTAAATAAAACACTTTAACAGTTCAAACGCGATGAATATTGTGTGGTCAAGAGAAGACCACGATCACGGGCAGTAGTTAAAATAATTTTTAAAATAACTTTAACTAACATATATCGCGTTTTAAACCGTTAAATAGTTTTATTTAAATGTGCACCACTCGCATAAACTACAGACAGTATTTTATACATTATCGTATTTCAATTTTCAAAACCTATCGGACTGTGCAGCACTTAACTGTCTAGCAATATTAAGAGAATTGTGATCGGGAAGTGACGTAAGCGGCGGCATGCCCGTCTACTATGATATTAGTCAGGTAAGTGACCCGGACTCTTCTCAAATGCCAGAGGTGAACGCGATAAAAGATACATTTTCCCCTATGACTGCACTTGATTTTTTTTGCATTACGTCCGTTCCAATAATTTTACTTTTTATTAAGCTATGTAATATTAAGTTTATTGTCTAAACTATATTGCTATTATATCCATATTTTTTGTAGGTTTGGTATTCACTTGAAATTATTTCAGAATAAAACATTATAACGTTTAAGCCACAAAATCCGATTCATGAAACTGCTATGACGTCTACACTTTTCCTTATAATCGTCTCAATTTTTAAGCTGTCAGAAAAATGAACAATACTGACATTAGAGTAACGGCTAATTGCGGTTTCATTAATTACTATGAATAATTAATTTGAGCTTTGGGCTATTATATTAGTATTCAAAAGAGTCACAGTCTAATCGACAATTATAAGCTGAGCGTGCATACGGTAACGAATGTATTGATGCGTCGAGCGTACAGAGAGGTGTATTCATGAAAGGCCGGGGTGCTCCGGGTCTGTCTGACACAATTCCGGGCGCCGGCGCGGCGAGTCTGGAGACTGCAACCCGGGACAGACGACACGCGGCCGCCAAGAGGAGCACTCCCGCCGCTCTGACACGTTTGGTCCCGCGAACTTCTATTTTCGAAATTCAAAATTCGAACGAATTGTCTTTTTCGCTGTCTCCCTATTAATGTCTATGACATAATGAGAACCTACGTAATATAGAATTCGTTTTTAATCCCGCGAAATTCTTTTTTACGAAAATTCAAAATTCGAACGCCGATTCTCGCCGGTATCACACAGTATCTATTGGCGCCTATTGTTTGAACAAACAATGCGACGTGCGTAATCCTGCTTCCTGTATTGGATTATTGAAACGATTGTATTCGAGTGCTCGTACTGAAAGTTCCCTATTAGACGTTATCGAGGCTACAGTGACGTTTATGGACCTTTGTTTACGCACTGTGATAGAATCGAGTCATCACCGACGAACGAAACTCGCGGTACTGTCAGAAAGTTGTTATATCTGAACGAAATCGCAGCAGTGAATAGCCAATAAAAGCCGTCAAACTGTATTCCTTCGAGAACTTTAAGGTTTATGAATACGATGGCGATACAAGTTGCAATGGACACGAGGATACATTTGACACGAATAAGAAGAGTAAGTTGCATTAACCTCCTCTTTCTTTATATTACAACTGCACCTGCTGCTTCTTCAGCATAAAGCAAGTGTAAATACTGCTAAGTTGAAGTCCACAGCACTTTCGGAGAATAACTGCTTATGCCGAAGTATTTTTTTTTGTGGTACTTTTAAATATTTTGTTGTACATTAAGTATTTATATTTTAATCAATATGTACGAAAGACACATTTCTTTTAGATAAAACACTTTAACGATTTAAAACGCGATATATTAGTTAAACTTATTTGAAAATGATTTTTAACTTCGGCCCGACATTTCTTTTGCTTATTTTTTATATACTTATAAAACAAATATGTACTCTCGCCACTTATTTAGTATTCTTAGTATGTTAATTAAGTGAATATACAATAATCAGTTAGACAAATACCACATTACCACAATTGCTAATTACATATATGCAATGTAATGAGTTAATTAATCTGTGTGCAATTTATCGGATATACTATCCGATAAATTGCCTACCTACCTACTGGAATGCTGAAGATACCCTGATATCGTTGTATTACGTAACTAGTTATTGATAATCCACATTATCATTCAAAGCTATGTTATGTTTCTGTACTGTTTTGTTTTGAAATTATAAACAAAAAGTTTGCAAATGAACGAAGCACAGCTTGCAATATAAATATTTCACTACTAACTGTGTCAGCGACTTCGTCCGCGTAGAGTAGAATAGTTAATTTTGTAATCAAAATTAGTTTTTGCAAGCCTCCTTTACATCTTTATAAATTATAGCGGTTACCCACGACGTCGTCCCTTCGTCCTTACAAGTTAATCTTAAAAGATAGACATACTATCCCGGACATTTTTTAAAGAGAAATCATTCTTTTATTCTTTTGGGAGCCTTTAACTGTTTTCGCATCGTACGCCTCGTAAGCCCACAAAGATGAATAGTTACTTCGCTCCTATTAGTCACAGCGCAATCTTTTATAGCGTATTGCTTTAACCAACACATAAAGGAATTAGAATCAGTAGTTCCTGAGATAAGCGCCACCAAACAAACAAACTCTTCAGCTTTATAATATTAGTATAGATGAGATTAACCTTCAGTTGTTTAGTACCGTAGTAAAAGTTATTTTTAATTGTATCGAGCGTATATTGTCCCTAAGATAAATCTTATCCGTTGGACCGACCCTGCTTAACATGCCTACTACTATTTAATTAGAATACTTTAACGGTTTAAAACGCGATTTATAATAGTTAAACTTATTTGAAAAGCATCCCAATCCCGGGTCGTAGTCAACATAAGTTTTACTAATATACTACTCGCGTAAACTACAGACAGTGGCCTTATAATAATAATAATAAAAAATAGGCGTAAGAGTTTTGTTTGTAGTATTTAAAATTTAATGTATCGAAGGTGGGACCGACTAGCGTAGCATGCAACATCTTGCCAGCGAGCTACCGTGTCAGTCTGTGCGCCACCTGCGACCACCTTGGTGACTCGGAGAATCGTTATGTCATCCTAACAATACCAATCCAATTACTCTTCATCGTATTGTTAAAGAAATTCTTACGAGTTGACGCAAGTGACGGATAACATGTCATTCAGTAAATCACGAAGAAGTGCATACCAATAGAGTCTTAATAATTGATCTTAGTCTTTGTTTTCAAGCTAAGACAAGAATTATATTAAAATAACTGGAACTAACTATTTTATTATTATTTTATGGCACGGCGAGACTCAAACCCACGGCCGACATAGTATTAGTGATTAAATGAATGATATCATTCAAATATCTTGTTTCTTCATCTTACTTCTTACACTAAAAAGTTTACAGACAACGCAAATATAGTTAATATATTTACTAAGTTTGTATCTATACTTATATATAAAGCTGAAGAGTTTGTTTGTTTGATGGCGCTTATCTCAGGAACTACTGATTCGAATTCCTTTATGTGTTGGTTAAAGCAATACGCTATAAAAGATTGCGCTGTGACGAATAGGAGCGAAGTAACTATTCATGTTCGTGAGCTTACGAGGCGATAATTTCAGATTCTACTGGTTCTAATTGAAAATTTATTTTTGTGTTCATTAAAGTACTTATCGGGGAAGGCTTTAGATTATAAAAGTTCACGCTGTGACCAATAGGAGCGAAGAAACAGTAAATGGGGAAAAATGGGGGAAAAATCTTTGTCGGTGTTCGTTGCGTGCGCTGCAGAAACGAGGAGGAGGTTTGCAAAAACAAATTTTGATGCCCATAATAACTATTCTACGCGAACGAAGTCGCGAGCACAGGTAGTTTTTAATAATTGTAAAGAGCCTGTAATATGTAGCATTTGTAGCATTTATTGATTCGAAGACAAGCGAGTCGTGCTCCTACAAGTCGCCTCATGAAATTTTAATGATAACATGAATTGTATGAATACAACGATCGATAAGGTCGTGATATACACGGTGGCACACATTCAAGATATAGGCTAGTAGTGTTTTGTTAAGAAAGCAATGAATCATACAGCGCCTTATTATTATAATCAGTAAAAAAATTGCATTTGACGTAAAATTTTTCGTACTTGTAACGTAACTAAATACGATTTCGTAAAATAGTTACAATATATTTAAACTTACTTTAACGAAAAAAAAGGTCAAAAGGTGTAAATATTGCGTGGTGTGTGCTATATTGTGGTGCAAACTTTGAAGAAGAAATGCATATTTTAAAAATCTATACTAATTTATAAAGCTGGAGAGTTTGTTTGTTTGGACGCGCTAACCTTAGGAACTACTGGTTCGAATTGAAGAATTCTTTTTGTGTTGGTTAGAACATTTATTGCGGAAGGCTATTGGCTTATAACACATGTCGCTGTGACTAATAAGAGCGAAGAAATAGCGGGAAACGTGGATACAACAGGAATACTTATTCATTTTTGTGGGTTTCCGACGCGTACGCTGGGAAAACTGTCCAAGGTACCAAAAAAATATGTATCAAAGAATCTTTTAATTATCTAAAAAAATGTCTGCGACACTATATGTCTATTATCTTCTAAGAAAAACTTGTCAGAACGGAGTCGGAAGGGGCGAGGCCGACGTCGTGGTTCATACAGCTTAAATTACAAATTTGGATACCCAAAAAACTATTTTACGCGGACGAAGTCGCTGACACAGCTAGTGTTTTAATATACGCATACATGTAATTATAACCGTTACGCGACCCCATTAAATCACAAGAAGACCATTTATGATTTTCCTGTATTAAAACCGCATTGTTGTTGTGTCCTTTTATTCGCAGGTTATAATAATTATCGTATTGTCCTATTAATTAATTATATACCCACGACAAAATGTTTTTAAAGGTAACTCTAGTAGTGCTATGTTCTACTCTACTAAAAGTTAATTATTACTAATTAGGTAATTGCATGAGCATGATCATTAAGATCGTTATAGTTTAAAAATCGAAAACAAATTGAAAAAATTTTCGACTCGGGCAGGACGAAAATTTTTTCAATTTGTTTTCGATTTTTAAATTATATAGTGCCTTCATGTGCAATAACATGTGAAAAATATTAATGTTTTCAATCGTTATAGTTTACAAAAGAAGATAGTAGATTCACGTTTGACGTTAGTAATTCAAAATTCAATGTTGATTTAATACCTGGTCCGTCCAGAGATTCGACTTGTAGACCATCACTAGACCTTCATTCCTTTTTCTCTAAATAATTTTAAACGGTGGCATACGAGTCGAAATATTGTTATCGAAGTCAAATGTGCTTTGTGTTCGTGTTACCGTGCCAGCATTTATTTTCTCTGATATTTGAATCAATTTTTACGTACTCAAATAACCACTGAGGTAATAATATTTAAAAAGATATCTCCAAACCCATTTAGGTAAGAAGATAATCTTAGTTAAGTTTATATGAATTGATATTTATATTGTTATTCACTTTTGTGATAGACGTGTATGATGGTAGGTGATATATTTCAGCCATATACCACATAGACATCTAAACAAGATGCGTGGTCGTGCGTGCTTTGGATATTCGGAACTCCGAAGATTCAAACCGAAACTTTACCGCTTTTTTTGTCTGTGATCCGATTTTCGCTATTCCTAGCACCCGTTTAATATACAGATTTTCAAAAAAGGTTCAACATGATCTGAATAATTATAAATTGATTAGAAAATTTGCCCTGGTAGCTATCGAACCTACGACCACTTAATACGGCAATTCGAGCTATTCATTGCTATAATTAAAGCAATGACCCGAAATACTATATTATTATTCAAACCTTGGTCACCATAATTTTTGTATTGTTTTGTCTCTCCGCTGAGCGCATGTTAATTTCCTCTGAAACTCCTACGTTGCTTAATTTAGGTCTTTAAGGTTTCGTCAGCGATAAATCAATTTTAAAGCCTCTCTCCCTAGAGCACTAACTGGTTAAGTGTTTAGCAATTTACTTTATTGCGTTTTGGCTGCACTAGCTTCAATTTATTTGATTTTATTAAGAGTTATTGAATGACAAAAGTATTTTAGTTATTTTGACCAATAAAGTCTT